CAATGTAGGGATGACGTATAATAGGAGAGATGGAGGGGGTGGGACTTTACTCGAAGCAATGCCATTATCCGAGAGATGGCATTTCTACATCTCTCTCTGTGAGTATTGAATAAAATATCTTGGTAAGAGTATCTTGTCTTTCCATTACTGGCAGTCTGCCCTGAGGGAGAGGAATCAGATTGCCCGAAGCCTGACAAGAATAATGCTTCTGTATTTGAGGTGTTATGCCTCTGAAGACCATTTGTCAAGAATCACAAGTGGGAAGAGGGTCATTGTGCTCATTTTCAGCCCCGTCTCCTCCCTGCAAAGAATGCCTTGCAGATGACCGCAGTACCTGGAGAGAGACTGGTTGTGTGTCCACAGCAGTGGCCAGAGGAGAAACGGCTGCTGGCAGGAGTGCAGAGAGAAGAAACACCATGCTACCCCTGAATCAGCACAAACGGACCCCTTCATCTGCCCCAACTTCATCTGCAACAAAAGCTGTCTCTCCCATATCGGTCTCTACAGCCTTGGCAGGCGCTGTAACTCTCCAACGGCTTGACTTCACCCCCGGAGGTGCACTCTTTCATGGTCTCCCAAGACAGACAGATGCCAACCAACCCCACCCTGCCCTCAGAACGCCCCATTTCAAGGCCTTCCCTCAGGGTCCCCTGACAGGGATAGTGCTGTCAAGCCTCCTGACCACCTGTTTGGTGAGTGCATGGGGGAGGTCTGTACTGACAGGAGGCTGGCTGAGCCAGCAGAAGTGAGCAGAGTTGCCTCTGCTCAATGGAAACCCCACACAGCTTGGCATAAGGGAGATCTGGAATGCAGAGTGAATAAAATTTAGTAACATAAACATTATAAAAAGTCAAAATGATGAAACAGGGGTGGGAGACGACTTTTGGTCAAGCTCTCTTGTTCCACGTGGGCCTGAGCCAGTGAAAGAAATGTATAAATACTTCTAACAGTGTTTTTCTTGCATTGGTGCTACTAAATACAGTTGTCATTACATGTTCTGCAGCCCACATAAAACTCTACCATGACCTACAGTAATGGTTCTTAAATTATTTATGCTTTCTTACCCAAATGAGTGCAAATTAATTTTATCAGAAAAGACTGTGAAATGTGCTCGAGGCGTCTGGCTTCTGTTTGCTTCAGGATTCCTGCTTTGATGAGACCGCTCTTGCTTTAGTTTCCAGGTCAGGAATTCTGCTAGTGTACATTATAATCAACTAAGGAACTTCCAACTTCTTTTTTTTTGCTGAAGTCAGGGCTGGTTTAACATGGTTTTTATTTTTTTTAACCACCATAGGCTGTGGGTCTTCCTGCAAACTGAGTGGGTGCCCCAGATCTCTCTTATGTCTAGGATATTTCAGAAAACGGGGGTAAATTCTGAGTTTACATTGGAAGTAGTACAAAAACCCAGGTTCATGCATGTATCAGGGCTCTCCATGTGAATGAAGAGTGTACTGCAGAATCTTCAGTTATATTTACTTATGTGATTTATAATCATCAAAATCAATCCCAGAGCTGGAGCTGCAACATAAAAACATGTGATGCATAAGGAAATACAACAAGCAAATCATCAGAGAACCTGTAGAGATCAGTAAGTGATGCTGATACAAAAACCCACACATATACTAAGTAGAAGAATAGAAGCATAACCACCCCACCCCACCCCACTCACCATCCCCCTCCCCCTCCTTCCCCCTTTCCTTCCTAACCTAATACTGCGTGCAACACTAATGTCTCACAACAAACGAAACTGATCTGTATAAAACACAACTTGAAAAAAGAGGAGCTTGCTGCAATTCATTGGAAGCCGTGGAAGCTGTGTCGGACATTTGGCTTCCAAAAACATTTCGCAAACTGGAACACTCACTTACTTCCGGGTTTGCGGCGTTTGGGAGCCAAAACATTCGAGTCACAAGGTGTTCAAGAACCAAGATACGACTGCAATTAAATTTTAGGAATGATTCCTGTTCTTAAGTAGCTGCATTGTTTTATACTTTCTGGGTGTCACATGATCATATTATAAAGCGGTTGTGTTCTATGTTATATAATTCAGGCACTGCTAGGAGTTGTTTCTTTTTGTTTTCCTTTTTTAAAATAAGATTTTATTAAAGCTTGTTCAGAATGCAATAACAACAAAAAAGGGAAATAAAAAGAAAACACAGAATCCTCTCTCATAGGTAAATCTTAACTCTTGTCTCTCACAGAATGAGAGGGACACTCCCAGCTCTTACATGGGAGCTTCCCTTTCCTCTCCCAGGCTCTCACTCTGGGAGGTCTTCCCTTCCCTGCTTCTCACTCAGGATCCATCCACCACCTTCATCTGTGTGTAATCCTTGGACCCTAAGAATGGCCCAGAGCAGGGGATACCAAAGAAAAACAAAATAAAAAAGAAGGAATAAGGAAAGAATAGAAGGAAGGAAGAAAGAACAACGGATTTCCAATTTCCATTGGTTGGTTACATAAAAGAAATTATTCAAAACAATCACTACATGGATAGGCAAACTAAGGACCGGGGGCTGGATCCGGCCCAATCGCCTTCTATATCCGGCCCACGGACAGTGGGAATCAGCGTGTTTTTACATGAGTAGAATGTGTCCTTTTATTTAAAATGCATCTCTGGGTTATTTGTGGGACATAGGAATTTGTTCATTTTTTTCTTTCTTCAAAATATAGTCTGGCCCCCAACAAGGTCTGAGGGACAGTGGACCACCCCCTGCTGAAAAAGTTTGCTGACCCCTGCTCTAGGATGAATCCAACTGCTCTACTTTCTGTTAAGCAATATTTCTTCAGACCCAAATGTCTCAAATTAACTCATTTTATTTTTTCCAAAAATTCCAAAACAGGTTGTCTAATTATTATTATTAATAAATGTCAGCAATGAGTTTTCTTCCAGTCCATTATATCAGCTTTGCCTCCAGTAACTTCAGCAACCAGTTTTGTTTTCCAATGTATGTCTTATCAATACAGAAATAGGTGTGGCACAAGCAAATTTTTATTCTGAAAGTGTGGCTTAGAGAAAAAAGTTTGAGGACATTTGCTCTAGGGTTTCAGAGTAGGGATATTCCCAGTCCTGCCTGGAGATGCTGGAGATTGAACCTGCGATCTTCTGCATAGAAACCCAATGCTTTACTGCTGAGCTATGGCACTTGTGTCTCTAAGTCCTCGCTCCCTCCCCATCAAACCTCAGTTAGGCACCTAAACTGTCACTGAGCAATGGGATCTTCTGCAGCCTGCTCCTAGGACAGTATTTCTAACTTGAGAAGGTGTGGAAAGCAATTCTAGATTTAATGTCCTTGTTTGTCTATTGGTAAGTACAATTTAATTAAGAATAGTTTCTACCCATCCTCCAGTGCTGCACAAGAAAAGTTCCACTAATATGAACTGTGCTTGCATTGATGCCCACTTGAGGACTGCAGTCTTTTTCTGCTTTGCCAAGGAAAACAAATCTTACTTCAGGTTTGAAAAGCTATTGCAATGTCAACCACAAGAAGGCAGTGCTGCTTATTTTTTAAGTTATTAAAGTACAGTATTTTGCTAGACTAGAGGAATTGGAGAAACAGATTGCTGATCATTGTTGTGTAGGGATGCTTTGGAAGTTACCACATCCTCAAAGCATTTCCTTCTTTAGTTAAATGCATGTTTTAGATTAGTGGTTTTGTCATTCTAGTAAATGATAGCAACTTCATATTATGTTTTTGGTGTACATGTATTCTGCATACTAAAATAACCCATAAAGGAGGACATCACATATTTTGAAAGATCGATTCAACAGCAGACATGAGCAAGAGATTGATAGTGTTCCTCTATATTTGTATACATCTCTTTAAAAAACCCAGCACATATATTTTGTTTCCCATGAATCAGCCTGAAGATTCCATGCATTTAAGATACATGCATTCAAGAGACTGTTCTTGTAAAGATAACCCTTGTGCATAGGGATTTAAATTGTATTCCATCATGTATCACATGCTCCCTGAAAACAAGGAACTAAGGCACCAATTATCTTGTGGCAGTGAGGGAGAAACTTTTGAAATAACATTGGGACACCAGCTCCACGCAAGGCATGACGGATAGGAGCAAAAACCAAGACAGGCAAAATATTTCACAAGGACAGGAAGAAACAACATGGACAGAATAAATGTCATACACAGGAAGAACAAGGATACAGCATGAGATCTTCTCTTGTATTTATAAATCATTAATTGCCTCAATACTAGTAAAAGTTATAAATATTGCAGCTGTTGTATAAGGGATTACTATTGTGACTGGAATGTAATTGAAATAAGATTTTGGACTGCAGAAATAAAGTAAATCATCAAACCATCAATTCTAGCACGTGGGGTGCCACCTAAATTATGTAATTTGGTATTTGAATGATTGACATTGGGAATTGCATTGTCCTTTGACATTGATATAATGAGGCTATTATTGTAATTGAAAACGAATAAAAATCATTATCACAATTATTCTCGTGGCAGTCTCTCTCTCTATCTCGTCTGCTGTCAAGAGAGGTAAGAGAGCTGCAGTCCTTTCAGCTTTCATAGCAGGTGCCACACGGCCTTGCCGAATGAAATATAGAATTATAGACCAACCATTGGACATACTTTCCCGTAATGAACCAATGGCAAACAAAGAAGCGTTGTTCTTGTGAGCCGTCCAAATAGAACGTGTCTCCCCACCCCACCCCGTCTCCCTCCCTCTATTTCATTTTCTGAGCCACGCGCTTTCATTCGCAGCCCAATGAAAGATCCAGCAACTCTATCTGAGTAGTGCTGAACGAAAGGATAATTTAACCAAGATGCAATCTTAGTTCCTTGCGCGGAGGCGAGATCCCAGCCAATAGGGGAAGCCACCGTCGGCGCGGAACGGACCAATGGGAAGGGCAACTTTGGAGCGCGTGCGGGGGGGGGGAGTGCGAGTAAGAGTCTATGGGGCGCGGATTGTAAGCGGCTGAGTGGGCTGCGGCTAAGCAGGGGGCGGGATCTGGGCAGCCGGTGTTCAATCAGGTAAAGGGAGGAGCTTGAAGGACTGCTGCAACCGCGAACGGGGATGGAGATCTGACGACGAGTAGGCGGGCCTTACAGGCCACCCCTCGCCCCTCCTCCCCCGGCTTGCCGGTCAGTCAGGTGCCTCAGGATGCGCGGTTGGTGCTTCAGCCTGTGGTGGAGCCGACGGCGGCTGAGAGAGACGCGGCTCTGGCGGGAAGGCCGGGTGTCGCCGCCGCCTCGTCACCGCGGGCTGAGGAGGCGCGTCTTCTCCGCTCCGGGCCCAGGCGCCCCCTCAGGGTCGTACCTGCCGCCGGCAGCCGCATGAGCTCTCGGCGGCTCCTCCCGCGGGCAGCGCCTCCCCCCTTATGGAGGAGCCGCTCCCTCCTCCTCCTCTCCCCGCATGGAGCCTTTCGCAGCCCGCAGCCCGCGCCGCCCCGCTCACCCGCCGCTGCCGGCGGACGGCGCGGACGGCGAAGAGGATGAGGGCGCGGCGGCGGCCACGGCCAGCTGGAGGACGGCGGCGTCGGGAGCGGCCTCGTGCGATGGCGGCGGCCTGCTGTGGACGGCCGTGTTCGAGTACGAGGCGTGCGGCGAGGACGAGCTGAGCCTCCGCCCGGGCGACGTGGTGCAGGTGCTCTCGCAGGACTCGCAGGTGTCCGGAGACGAAGGCTGGTGGACCGGCCAGCTCGACCAGCGCGTCGGCATCTTCCCCAGCAACTACGTGACCAGCAGCTGCAGCAGCAGCAGCCGCCTCTGCCTCCGCCAGGGGGGCGCCGCCGAGCTCCAGTCCCGCTACCCGCAGACGCCCGCCATACAGTGTAGGAGAGGGAAGGCGGGAGGAGAAGAGGAGGGCATGGCGGGGGGGGGGGGCGGAGAAGCCAACAGTGCTTATCCCTTAATTCCTTTAGGCCCCTGTTTCCTGGGAGAGGCTGGACTCCCAGCTCCAGGGACTCCCTGCTGCAGACGACCCTTCTGCGTTGCAGTATTTACTTCTAGGCAGGACGAGGTGGCTGGAGTTTTCGACCTGTGCCGTCTATATATATATGTTGGTCAATTAAGTGGGATTTTTAGCTCATTTTGATCGATTGTGGGATCTTTACCAAGAGGTGGCAGTTGTCCCTGTACCTACTTTTTTTTTACCTCTCCCCGTTTAACGAAACTGCAAGGATGCGAACTTGCCTATATACCTTGCTGCTTCGAGAGGTAGGGAAGGAAGGGGCGTGGCACTGGGCGCTGGGTTATATTTATCCTACCACTGCTTTTTCTGTCTCAGCTTTGCTCTCAACACCAGTGAAGAGCTCTTCTGTTCTGCCCCTTCTCATCTGGGTTTCTTAATAAGCTAATTAAATGCCAGGCTGCTTCAGGTCAGATGAATGTTATTCAGTCTGATGGTATTTTCACTGTAACTACCTGGTGATAGAACCAGGACAGCTTTCAGTACTGTCACCTGTTACTGAATGAGTGTATATGTGTGCTTACCTTATAGTTCATGAAAACAAAAGTTGTCCTTCCTCTCAGTAGAGATGAAAACCATAGAATATAGCTGCATTTTCCATCTGTCCAGCTGACTATTCTTCTTCATTGTCAGACATCTTGTTATGTCCAGAGTGTGTTTCTCCATTTTCAAATTCATCACAATGTGATTCATTCTCCACAATCTACTCTTACTTTTGCTAATTACATATTTTTAAAGTAACTTGTTCTGAAGGAGTTAAGAAATGCATAGCCTAAAGTTCAGTGCTAGGAGAAGGCAGAGAAAACACATTTTGAGAGTTGATGAGGAAGATACATTACTTCTTACAATGAAGCTGCAAAGAGACTGCAACTTCCTGTATCTTTGGGTATGTCCTGTCTTGTAGGCCTTCCTTTTTTCTCACCCCTACACATGGATATACTTCTAAATCTAACCCATTGCTCACAGTTCTTCTGCATCAGCTGCCTTCAAGTGGGCTTGTTTTGAGGATGTTTTCCTTCTGTCAATGTTGATGTTGCACAGCTCTCCTTGCATGCAAGCAGATGCAAAGGAATTGAAGCACAAACTTATGCAGGATTGTGACTTTTATTCTATTGTATATATTATATTTGAAATAGTATTTCATTATAAACATATTGTGGGCAAGGGATTGTAAGACTTTGTATCTTCCTTTTGGGGTTTAATCTATAAATTATTCATGGCCAGGGATTGGTGTTTCTTTCTAGGAGGTAGGAAAGGAATAGGACAGATTATCACTGATGTATTTGGATCAGGAAACCAGGCAATTAGCAGCAGCATAGTTCCTGTAACTGCTATGACAAACTGCATATGAGACTTTTTCTGTCTTAGAAGGCCAGTAGATGTTAGAGAGGGAAAACATACAACACAGCCTTACCTAATGGTTCAGAGGCCCATCTCTCTTGACTTGTACATGCAATCTGCTCAGTGCTCACCTGTTAAAATTTGACCTGGTTATATACCTTGGTCTTTACTTTAGAGACAAGGGCTTGAATTGGTTTGTCACTTGAGTACTTGTTTGCAAGTAACTGCTTCTTGCTAGTGGTGAAAGGCAAGTTATGAGGGCATAGTGTCTCTTAAACATTATATTTCTTACTGACTTAATATATATTTAAACTATATCTTTTTTATACATACTATTTTGCAAAGTAACTGAGATGGTGTGTGCTAGGCTTTTTGTACCTACATCCCCCCCCCTGCAAAAAAGCAGCATGTTTTATTTTCATACTCTATTTGCATTTGAGGCAGGGTAAATCATGCATTAGTGGTTAGAGGGCACTTCAGAACACAAAAACAGCAAGGTTACATTAGAATGTTAAGAATACCGGCTGCGGTGTTAACAACCATTTGTATCATTAAAGGAGCTGTCCCTTCAGCACTGTTTGGTTTAGATCCTCAGTTTCCCTCTAAGAATGCTCAAGAGATGTTTAGTGTGCATCTTACAGCAAACATTCCACTCCCAGGGCCCAAATTATGGAGGCCCACCAGTCCCAAAATAGGGGTACAGGGGCGGAGCCAATAAGAAAGTGGAGGTGGAGATTGTAAGCCAATCATGTCAATCACTGATACCATTTTCTATTAATGCCTCATTTCTCTTTGGAAATTGCTAAATTCTTTACTACAGCAGTTTCCTTGCTATAGGGAGTTCCATAGTTCAGCTTTCCACAAGCTAAGCACAGGCTTTGGCTCTGGAGGTATCATGACTCACTCTTCCCCTTTTAGCCAGAAGTTGCTGATCCAGAAGTTTCAAGTAGTGAATAATTCATCTATCCCCCCACCCTCTGTATATCTCTAAAAACATTTTATTTCTTCCATATTTTCCTTTCAAACTTGTATCCTGTGCCACTTCCAAATTGCCAATTTCTTTCATCCTTCCTCCTCTTTTCAATACTTTCTCCTGTGACATCTTTCCTCTCATTCCCTTCCTCTCTGTTTCCCAGATTACTACACTACTACTATTATAGCTGATGCTGCTAGCATCTGCACGGCCAAATGGCTCAAACCCCCAAGACAGTAGAAAAGACTACTGCATGATGGGGGTAGGTTGTACTGCTGAGGGCCAGTAGTGGTCCTTGGCCTACAGTTTGAGAAATTCTCCCATGGTATGTCACATCAAAGTATTACTCAATGTAATAGAGCTTCTCACTACTCCTGAAATAGCTCACCAAAGGACTTAATGTAATTTCAAGCACTTTTAAGTAGGGAATTCAGAACTGTATTTCCTGCTGTCTGTCAGGCATTATGACACACTTCAACTTCCTTTTCCCTAAGTGAAGAAAGTATGCGAGTTGGCAATAATGTTTCCTGGTACTGGCATGCAGATTTCCTGTTTTTCTCTCAACATAAATTTCCTGAGTGGCTTTGTATTTTAAGTTTCAGAACTTTTTTAGTGAGTCTTTAGTAGTGATGACTCCTAGTCAGATGGGCTACAATAGGTTTCATGTAATTGACCAACCATCAAAAGAGATGCGTGCTAGTCCTGTGTAGTCTGAGTGCTATAGCCTTAAGGCCTGTGTTCTGTCCTCCACATCTTACAGGGTGGAGGTAGATGTAGACTTCAGCATGTGGATAGATTCATGCAAGGGGAGTTGATCCTTCAAGCATAAAGGCCCCAAACTATTAAAACATTAGAGGTAGTCTGAATTGTGGCTAGAAACAAATTGGGAATTAATGCAGTTGATGCAACACTGGTGTAATAGTACCAGGCTCCAAGGGCAGCACTTCATAAAATTCATTGCAGTAGTCTAACCTGAAAATAACCAGCCTTGAACCTCAGGTGGGAGGCGAGTTAAAATATAAACAAATTGTTCATAATACTGCTGCCTTTTCTGGGGAGGTCTTACCATACTGATCATAGTTTTATTGCAGTATATGTACTATATCATGTTGCAACCTTAAAGTGCCATTAAATATGAGTACTGACGTGTGGCACTTGCCGAGTTAACGAATATGTAAAATGTTCTGTTTATTTGGCACACTTGAATTAGGCTGCTGGCAGCTATACATTTTTATAGCCGATGCTTCTCATATGAAAAGAGTAGTACAGGGTAAACTAAAGTAGTAAAGAATAGTAAAGGGAGATGTCTGCCTTTACAAAAAACTTCATTGCTATAACAATTGTTTATATTGATGGAAATAACTACATGTTAAGCACAAGCAAAGAAAAGTTGAAATACATTTTGTTTTCTTATATATTTTCTTATATATTTGTAGCTACCTGTGAAACATGTGTGTATCTTTTTAGCAACGAAGCATTGTATTTTTGCTGAATATATCCAACTTTATAATTCAAGCCACCAATAAAACTTTATTATAAAATGACCTAAAATAGGTATATAGAATTGTTGCTTACAACAAAATTGCGTAGGGCATTTTAATGATACTACCTTGGTACAATTTTTCCAGACAAGTTCTGATAGCAATAAGAGCTTAAGAATTTGTTGACACAAGCCTAAACTGTTACATTTAAATGGCAGAATAATATTATTTAAGGCAAGGAATAATGCTGAAGCTATCTACTGACAATATTTAATCTTGTAAAATAACTTATATTTCTTTGTTTCTCCATTTATAGTACGGGAGATTGACTTCTCTGAGCTGGTTCTGGAGGAAATCATTGGAATTGGAGGCTTTGGGAAGGTCTATCGTGCAATTTGGCTTGGAGAAGAAGTTGCCGTCAAGGCAGCTCGGTATGATCCAGATGAAGACATCAGTGAGGCTATTGAGAATGTTCATCAAGAAGCCAAGCTCTTTGCCATGCTAAAACACCCCAACATAATTGCACTTAAAGGCGTATGCCTAAAGGAACCTAACCTTTGCTTAATCATGGAGTTTGCCCGTGGAGGGTCACTGAATAGAGTGCTGTCTGGTAAAAGAATCCCACCAGACATACTAGTGAATTGGGCTGTCCAGATTGCTGGAGGAATGAACTATCTGCATGATGAAGCAATTGTTCCTATTATACACCGGGATCTGAAGTCCAGCAACAGTAAGTGGGGAGTATAGCGGGTGTGATGTTGGGACTTACAGAGAAGTGGACAGCATAGATAAAATGTTAGTAACTTGAAATATATTCCATCCACATAAGCTTGAGGACAAAACTGATGAGTAGGCTAGAATGAAAGGCAGGGGCATGAAAGCTTCCCATGAGACTTACTCTTAAGAGAACCAGTGGTGTAGTGGCTAGACAGATGGATTGGGGAGGCCCAGATTCAAATCCCCATTCAGCCATTAATCCTAATGTATGGTATTGGACCAGTCATTGTGTCGTGGCCTGAACTACCTCACAGAGGAGTTAAATTAAAGCACAGAGAACTATGTATGCCAGACTATGCGAGCTAATTGGAGAAATGGTGGGATATAATAAACAAATAAGGAACTGCTAATGAACAAAAAGAGAATGGCAAGAAAACAGTGTGGTGTAGTGGTTAGGAGCGGTAGATTCTTAATCTGGGGAACCGGGTTCGTGTCTCTGCTCCTCCACATGTAGCTGCTGGGTGACCTTGGGCTAGTCACATTCTCTCAGCCCCACTCGCCTCACAGAATGTTTGATGTGGGGGAGGAAGGGAAAGGAGAATGTTAGCCGCTTTGAGACTCCTTCGGGTAGTGATAAAGCGGGATATCAAATCCAAACTCTTCCTTCTTCTTCTTCTTCTTCTTTAGAGGAAGGATGGGGAACCTTTCTGATTATGAGGGTTGTCTCCCCAGAGGAGAACTCTTGGGAGTTATAATGGATGGGGTTGGAGTCAGCAATTGGCGAGGTCATAGATAAAGTGGGTTTGGCCAGAACTGGTGATGAGCCATGTATTTTTTGTCTTTCTCTTCTTCCCTTTCTCCTCTTACCTAGCAGCTGAAAATCCTCATTCACTGTAATTAGGCTTAGATAAAATACTTTGCCACTCATGTGAAGGTTAACTTAAGCCCAACTGCTGATTGGGGCTAGGGAAGCGAGCTGAGATGGGGAGACTATAGGATAATTCCTAAGGTATTTCATGACACAGTGCATGCCAGTGTGGTGTAGTGGTTAAGAGCGGTAGTCTCATAATCTGGGGAACGGGGTTCACGTCTCTGCTCCTCCACATGCAGCTGCTGTGTGACCTTGGGTCAGTCACACTTCCCTGAAGTCTCTCAGCCCCACTCACCTCACAGAGTGTTTGTTGTGGGGGAGGAAGGGAAAGGAGAATGTTAGCCGCTTTGAGACTCCTTTGGGTAGTGATAAAGCGGGATATCAAATCCAAACTCCTCCTCCTCCTCCTCCTCCTCTTCTTCTTCTTCTTCTTCTTCTTCTTCTTCTTCTAACACCAAGGTTGCGGGTACGATTCCCATATGGGACACCTGCATATTTCTACATTGCAGAGGGTCGGTCTAGATGTTCCTCAGGGTCCCGTCCAACTCTACAGTTCTATGATTCTATGACGCTTCTGGCCTAATGGTTCCTTTCCCCTGGTTTAGAGAACAGCCTTCTCCTAGAAGTTTATTTTTTGTATTGAAGATTTTACCAACACAATTGTGAATTCCTTTCTCGCTCTTTCTTTTAAGGCACTGTTGCCAGTTGTCATCTCTGGTATGTTAAGAGAAACTTGTGACACTTAGAACAGAGTTGTGAAGGTGATGGAAGGTTAATTGCCCTTGCTTGTTTGGATGTCAAAAATGGTAGTGGCAAGAACATTGTGATGTAGATTGATTTCCCCCTCTTCTGTCTTTTCTCCTTCTGCCCCGTTTCCATGAGCATGAAGCATATCAGCAGTCTGGGAGTCCAGACTTCAAGACTTCTATTACCTATGAAGTCTTTGAACCTTGAAGACAGTTCTGTAATTTACCACTTTTCTCGTCACTTGGATCAAGAAAGAATGACTTCCCTTACTTTGACAACACAGTCATATATGCAGTTTTCTATAACACTGGGCTGCCGTATGAAAGCTGCAAGTACAGTGGTACCTCGGGTTACAGATGCTTCAGGTTACAGACTCCGCTAACCCAGAAATAGTACCTCGGGTTAAGAACTTTGCTTCAGGATGACAAACAGAAATCGTGCGGTGGCAGCAGTGGGAGACCCATTAGCTAAAGTGGTACCTCACGTTAAGAACAGTTTCAGGTTAAGAATGGACCTCCGGAACGAATTAAGTTCTTAACCAGAGGTACCACTATACTGGTCTACTCCTGCTGCCAGTCTAGCCCATAGGATATTTCCAGAAGGTGGAGTGAGACTGGCAACAGTAGAATGGTTGGGCAGCAACTCTGGGTAGTTACTTAAGCCTTTTCTCGCATATCTGAATAAATCTGATTTGTAAAAAGCATCTTAGCAAATTACTCTTGAAATAAATGATGTAGAAAGGAGATTAATGTTATCTATATTATGGACCTGAATTATGTATAGACTAAAAGTATAACATTTGAAGCAGTTCCACATGTTTTGTTAAGTAACGGTTTCACAGGAGAGTTACTCTGATTAAATTCTCTATCTTACAACTTCATGCATACTCCTCTATCTGGATAATTTTCAATATGGGTCAGTATAGCAGCATTAATAAGTAACTGTTCCTTCCACATTAGAAAGATGGAATCAAGCATGTGGATGAGAGGGAATGTGTAACATTGAGAGTATAACACAAATTGGGATAGCCTTGTGAGACTCTTGGTGAGCAGGTATCCTAGATGTGGAGGAGAAAGCAAACAAACTTAATTTTGATTCTTTTTTCCTCCTCTTTGGTATATATATCTAGGATGATAAAATTGATTTTGTTAGAACCCTCCTGTCATTTGTGTGTGCAACACCAGCTTCTCACTTAAATTTGTGAGGAGTTCTATTAAACTGGTTAGAAGTGAAGTTTGTTAACTGTGGAGAAAATAGACACTGTTGGCAGCCGATGTGTAACTAATTAAAAATAAACCTCTTAGCAAAGCTCCTCTCTGTCAGTTTCCAATACAATTAGCAGGATGCTAGCTGTCAATGTGTGTTAAATCTCTTTGACCTTGGAAATAATTTTGTCTTAGAACCATTTAGGTATTTGTTGCTCCTTGTATTAAGGAGAGATCTACATGAACTAGTTAGTTCAGTGCTCAGATAAGTGCTTCATAAGATGTGTTCACATTTTCACAACTTTGGATAAGAGATGTGACTAAATAACATTTTTTCTGTAAAACTAGTTAGTTAAATATCTGTGAAATTCAATATCAAACTACAAAACATGATCAAATAGGTTTTCTAGCAAAGTATAGTAGGGCTACAACAGTTGTGCTCAGTAGCATTATTTTTGCCATATTACATGTGACAAATTCCACTACAAGCAAGAAGCTGTGACATGTTCTTATCCATAGTGTGTAACAAAGTGGCCACAATTTTTTGTTTAAATCCAGTTTCTGTCCCTCATAGTTGCAAAGCAGACATCATACATTTTTTCAAAGCTCTCTGTCTTCGTTTTATTTCTCCACAGTACATGAATCTGGATATAGGAGTAAAAGTATCTTAAGGGCAACACTTTAGGAAAAATAATATCATTAGCTTTTTCTGGCAACTGATGTGAATCTTGGAGTACCAGGTAGTCTGGTTGGGAAGAAGTGTACAGGAAAAAGTTTAGGCACTTGTTTGCTACTTCTCACCTGCAAATAACTCTGTTCTGCTTTGCAATAACAAATTAGCTGCTGGGATTTTCATCCCAAATTTGTTTCTGAAGATGGGGTTCAGGCTCTTAAACAGCCACTTGTGTGGTCACCTGCAGTAGGTAAGGATTGTCATTAAGTTACAATGGGGATACACTTGGTAGGTAAGTGAGCAAGAGTTACTTCTGTGAACTCACTTGCAAAACTGGCATATTCCTGTTCTTAGTTCATAATTGGTTAAATGTGGGCTTGTTCTAATTTAGAACAAGTATGTCTCCAGTACTGTACAGTAGACCCACAACTTATGCTGGGGTTACGTTCTGGGGCTAGCACATAAAGTTAAAATTGCATATAGTCAAACACATTGGGTGCAGTGGTGGGTGGGATTGCCAAAGTCTTTTTTCCCTGGACGTCCATCCCTTAAAAAAATACATTATTTTTTGCTAGGCGTGTAAAGCTGAATGCGCACAGGTTAAAAGAGTGTAAGTTGTAGGTCTACTGTGTAAAGTGGCTGCCAAACTGGAATTTAACCTATATATTAAGCATTATTTTCCTCTTTGAAGTGTCTGATTAATCTCCATAGGAGTAATCAGAAATTGTTCTACCAAACTAATTCCATCTGTTTAAGAACAGGTGAATAGGAGCTCTAATTTCTTTGCATACTGCTTTGGGAAGACTCCTCAACCTCTAATGCTTTCATATTGTTGCACAAAATCTTAATGTTTGAATTGCCATTTCTGAAATAGGATAGTTAAGGACCTTCTATACATGATAATTAGAGTGCATGTCTTTTAATATGTTGACAACTTTGTGTTTCATGGTAGCAGGCTGGTAGAGTAAGAATGTTGATGTAAAATTTTAGGGCTACAGACTTAAGTATTGCAACAGAACAGTTGTGAACTTCCTTAGTTGTAAAATGAAATGCATACCTGATAAGCACAGGTAGAATTTGACAAATTGGTAGCACCTGCCCTAAAACAGCTTAAGTATAACAGTTCTCAGTTCCTGTTATTGTTTTAATTCCTCATATTATTCAAGAAATAATAGTAGTAGTAATAATAATAATAATAATAATAATAATAATAATAATAATAATAATAATAATTTATACCCCGCCCTCCCCGGCCAGGGCTCGGCTCAGAGCTGCTAACACCAAATATGAATTACAATAAAACGTAATAGAAAACAACAAACAAACAAACAGTTAATTAAAATACGGCTTAAAATACAGCTTAAAACATAGCTTATAATGCAGACATGTACAAAGTCTGATTTGCACCCTACTTTACCAGTGAACTGGGGGCTATGAACCAGCCCAAAACTCAGTGAGGATGCAACCAAACAGAGTTTTCGTTTTTAACCTACTTTGTGGCAATAATAGAGTTGAAAAACAGTTTTTCTCCACTACGTGCGTATTCTCAGGGCATTATCCATTGGAACTTTTCTCTGTGGTTTAACAGTCTCACAGATGGATTGTCAAGGTGAAAGAACCCTTAGAAGTATGCTGTGACATGTTTGCTAAAGATTTTGAGGATAAAATTACTCATATCCATTTCTACTTGGTGACAGATAGTTCTGTAGCAAAGTTTAGGAAGGTGTCTGGAGCCCTACCTTGTATTATATTGAATGAATTTGGAGCCTAATTACCCAAGTTAATATGATGCTAATTGTGTGAATTCATTAAACATTTGCAAGCATAAAAAATGTAAATAATAGCCTTTGTGGGTAGCATAAGCAGCATCAGGAAATGGGGAGTAAGAGTTTAATCATTGTAGAGGCAGCTTGATGTAGTGATTAGAATGTCATAGTAGACTAGGGAGATCCTGATTCAGTTTTCTACTCAGCCATGGAGA